TTCGGATATTTATTTTGAGTAATTCTAGCTCCTAAGTTCACCTAGACTCCGTCCTTAATCCTAACAGACCCAACCATCGAATGAAACAGCTTCCTCTTTGTCTCACCCACTACTTTCTCATCAGCACATGGCTCCACTAATAAACCCCGAAGGTAGTGGTCTTGCTGGCTTTCCCCCATCTTGCAGCCCATACTTCTCAGCCAGCCCCTCACAGTACTTCCTCTGGGGCAACCTCAGCACACCCTTCTCCACATCTCTCTCCACATGCATCCCCAAGTAGTACTTCACCTCACGCATCTTGGAGCACTTGAACTGCATCTCCAGCATCTGCTCTGCGCTGTCCAGCAAATCAGTTGATGCAGAAAAGAGAAGGATTGTTATAGTCACAATAGGCTCAGATGTGCCAATAATGAGAGATAGAGAGCATAGTCGGATTTCCGTCAGACGGCTTGAAATATCGAGAACGATCTGCTCCCTCACGTAGATTGTGATCTGTAAGTTGGATCTGGAGCGCGGTGCTGTCGTGTATCAGCAGCAAGTTGACTCATGAAATTCCATGAAGATTTGACGACGCTATGGCGGTTTGACTGGGAGGAGGTACAACAGCCACTATAGTCGTAGGAGTACAAAAACTTAGGAAGAAGAATTCGAGAGGGAGATGGTTCCCAGCCTCTACATACCCCAAGAGCCGAGGTCCAGGTTGGTGGTACACCACCACAGAGTCCCCAACCACGAAGAGTCTTGAAACCAACCATCCAAGGGACTACACGAAGTAGCGTTACTATTTTCACTATTTAATATTTATCCACGTCCCTTGGGCTTTGAAATCTTGAGCTCTTGGTCTTGGATATGCAAGATAATTTCTTCTTGAGTTGATGTGGGCTTGTTGCACACACCTGCGACGCGATGGACACTTCACACTCCACAAAACAGAAAAAACACATGCGACACACAAACGACGACTTGACATGCGAGTTGTAAAAACTCGCTAATGTCTTGACCGACACAAACCACATAGTGATACACCATTCAAACACACACACAAGGATTGGATATCAATGACATAGACTCACAATTCATTCCATGCCATGCATGCACACACACAAACAAGGACGACAAGCCGAGTGCAAGCCATAGGGTTGCACCAACAAACTCCCCCTCGGATTGTTGGCCTTAGAATTTGCTCCCCTTAGTTCAGAGCCATCCCAGCAAGCTTGCAACACTTCCAATGCTGCTTCTCAACCAGCCTCTTGGTCATCATATCAGCTGGCTGCGCCGTCGTCTTCACGTAGTGCAACTCCACTTCACCCGCGGTTACCATGCTCCTCACCCAATGCCACTTCACCTTCATGTGCTTGGTAAGGCCATGAAGAATGGGGTTCTTTGCCAATGCAATAGCACCCTGGCTATCACAATAGAGTGGGGGAGGTCCTTGCTGCTCCTCCCCCAATTCAGCTAGCAAACGCTGCTGCCACACAACCTCTCTTATGGCACGGAAGAGTGCCATGTACTCGGACTCCACCGAGCTCAAAGCTTGGTCCACTTGTTTCTTGCTCTCCCAAGCTGTTGGCCCTCCACCAACACAGCAGATGAAGCCTCCCACACTTGTCATATCCTCTGGTTCTGATGCCCAAGATGCATCAGAGAAGGCCGTGAGAACGAGCCTCCCGGTTTCGACTCCATCCGCACCCTTTTGACGCCTTTGTGCCGCCGCGGAGTATTGCAGTCCAACAGTTGCTGTTTGGCCACCCTCTCTCCAGCTGCTACCTGCTCTTCATTAGGGTATTGGACAACCCTAGCCAGCTGCCCGGTAGCAAAGGCTGCATCCGGCCTTGTGTGCACGGCCGCATACATGAGGCTGCCCACCAAGTTTCTTAGGCACAAGTGCCATGCACATGCACCCAAACACCCGAAGCATATCCACCTTCCGCTTCCTTCCAATCCACTCCACATAGGGCACCCATTTGTCTTCTCCCACGTGAGTCAAGGCTCTGTTCTTGGCCACACAAGCATGCCGCACTGCATCCGGCAAAAAAAAAAAGGGTAGACCGGCATCAATGAGAAGTCCCCGAGCCGTCTACGTGAGTGACCGATTCGCACGCTCGGCGATGCCGTTCATTGCAGGAGAGTAGGGCATGGTAAGAGAGTGCCTTATGCCCTGCTTCTTCAGCCAATTTGAGAAGTCCTTGCTCAGGAACTCTCCCCCACGGTCAGTGTGAATCGCCTTCACAAGTCGGTCTTGTTGCCGCTCCACCATCGGCAACCAATCGGTCTTCACCGATTCAGCTACATCACTCTTCTTGGGCAGCACATACACCCAAGTCATGCGAGTGTAGACGTTCACAATGGTGAGGAAGTACTCTGCTCCAGCAGCTCCAAGCTTCAAGGGGCCCACCACATCCATCACCACCTCATCAAGTGGTGCCTTCGCCGTTGTCTCCGAGCTATGGAACGGGTAGCGAGTGAACTTGGCTTGCATGCATGTTGGATAGCCAAGCAC